GAAATATTTTATGCCTTAAGAAATATAAGAAATTCAATATTTCTGATATTACAAGTTTACTATTAATTAGCATTTATCTCCTTTTATAATTATTCCTATTTTGCTTTAGGCAACTTCTTAATTAGCATTTATTTCCTCTTCTAATTAGGGCTCTTGTAATAGCTATATAAGGGACATCAGAATTATTCAATAAACAGCTTAGAAAGAATTGATTCTTTTGTGTCTTGATAAGGTCGAGCACAAATTAATTCTAGCTTAGGCTTATTTTATTATTTCCCTCTCATATTCTCTATTTCCTAGATCTAAAACGAGATCTCAACCACGCCCATAACACAAAATTTTTAGACCAAGGATTTTCAATGGGTTTTAAACCATTTTTGTAAACCTATTCACAGGGAAAATTTGATGGTTGGCACTAGAATTGCTAGCTGCTCGGGAAACATGCAAAGCAATGCACTGGTGATGGAATTTGTGGTTGTTATTAGTGAATTATCTAAGGTAGATACTCCATCCTGCTTCAGGGAACATGAAACGAAGTCACGGAGACACATGTTTAATTCATAAAACTCAGTTTTACCACCATGTTGTTAATGAGTTTCATATCTTTGTTTGGATCTCCTCAATTAAACATATGGTGATTAAAACATGTATTTTTTAAGTTATTTATTTGATTATTCTCTATAGCTTAGTTTTAGTAACATGGACTTTTGTTTATGTTAGCTTACAGGAGGGGGTTTGAATGGTTTCATGGTCTCTAGCGAAATCGTGCGTACTCCAAGGAGTTCAACTGTTCAAGTGATACTTCGAGGGATCTATATTAAGAGCCAATTCATATATCTATATTCTTCATCAAGTTCAAAGTCTTTTATTATTTGTTCCTTATATAATTAAAAGGCTGCAAGTAAATGAACATGTAATGAGTCGAAAACTCGCAAACTTTTGTATTGTCATGTTTTTATGAGTTTCATGGGATCACGAACTATGAGTCTATGAAGACACTGGATGTATCAATTTTACAAATATATGCAAGTATTTTATTTTCAGTCGTAGTGTTGATTCTTTTGAACTCGATAAGATGCATCATGTATATGTGTTTGTGTGTGTATATATAGAGATGAGTGGACTTGACGGTATATTTCAATGCAACTAAAATTTTAGTCAGATTTTCGTTGCACAAAAGTCTCATGTGCAACAAAAAATTACAACACACAAAAATAGTATGTGCTACAATTGATAATGTATCCTTGCACTAAAGTATATGTGCCACATAAAATTGTAACACACAAAAGTAATTAGGGCTACAACTAATAAAAGTCCGTTGCACAAAGTACATCTATAGGCAACAAAAGTCAATGATGCACAAACATTACTATGAGCAACAAATATTTGTTTCATCACACAAAGTATAATGGGCCACGCCACTTAGGCAATAACCTCGTGACGGATTTGATTTTGTTGCACAATGAAATGGGCAACAAGTTAACAACCTTTGGCAATAAAAATTTCCGTTGCACAAAACAATTTTTCTTGTAGTGTAAGCTAGATGGTATTCATCGATAAACAGAAGAAAAGAAGATCTGATAATGATAAAGAGCTATCGGGAACAGAGAAATTCTTCTTCTATTGTATCGAGAACTTAATTTGGCAGCGTAAGGCTAAGAGCTGTATTGATCGATATCGGTACCTGTACACAAGGCGCATATTTATAGGCGCTGTACAGGTTACCGATTTAGGTAAACCTTGAGGTTTGGGCCAAGGCCTTTTTGGGCCTTATTCCCTTTAACCTATTTATTACATAATGATTACTAATCTAATACCATAAATGGTATAACTAGTCTACTTTATTTAAACAAGACATTACAGACAAACTTGACTCACAATAAAAGTTCTAACATGGCATTTTGGAAATGACTAATTATTGGGTTTACTCATGTGTATATATTTTCTAACTCATAGGAGAATCAACTAAATACACTGTATTTATATCACTATTAATTATAAATACTCATATTGGTAGACAAGATTTTCGGTTAAATGTTTATCCGAAAATTATATCTAGGCCATGGACCAATTTATTTTGAAAGAAACAATGTCGTATGCATTGGTATCAATCTATTAACAAATAGTGGTGCAATGGTAACGGACATAAATATATATGAGAAAACAATGTATAGATACATGTATACAATTATGAAAGTTATGGATAAACACTATTAAATGTATGATATACCATTAGAACTTATAGGACTAATTATGCATCATCACGGAGATTGGTTTGGTATACAAGTCCAATGAGAAGTATAAAATGTATATAGGATTACGTACATATCCACATGATTTAGTTTCCATGTCTTCAGTTCTATTTTATACAATAGATTATCTTGACAGACAATCTGAAACATGATTACATCTAAAATGATACTATAATACATTTGTACAAAATCGATATTACAGTTCTCAATATATAATTTGGACATAGGACTTGGGTGAATATATTTAGAACTAAAGACACATATAGGAACTCAATGGGTTCCTATACATATCATGTGTTGGGTTATAGGAATCTTCAAATTATACACTTTAGTTTAAATGCACTTAGTTCCTATAATTTATAGTATACTTATAAATTATGTGTCTTTATATCTTTCTTTCGGTTCACTATCATATATACACATCTTGCACAATTTTATAGTAGATAATGTCTTGATTATGTTGTCGAGTTCCTACAATTTAATACATGTATTGAGTTTACTAATTTATCTCTTTTCGTTGTTGATTTTTACTCAAGATAATATAAGAAAAGTGTACAATCTAGAAACATATACCAATAAATATATGATATCACATTTTTAGTGTATATTATAATGACTATAATATACTACAATATTGTTTTCAAAACACAAGTTCTTTTATATCATAAACATATAATTATCAATAAATATTATAAATCTCATTGAAAATACACATTGTACCTACCAAATCACATGTTTTCACGGATATGAAAATGTGTATAAATCCTACTATCTTGTCAAGTGGATTTGAAAACCCACTTGACAAGAACCATAAATTTAACGTAGTATATAAGATTGGAAATGTATTTATATACGCTGAAGTTGGATTGGGTTCATATCTTTCGAGTTGATGAGTATAAGGCATGTATTCGACCCGCACCATATTATGGAACACAATTTGTGACAATCACTAAAGAAACTATGATATACATAGGCATTTTGCATATGTATCACATAATTTGGACTACATAATTGTATTATGTATCAACAATATAGATAACTTAAATGAATTAAGTCATAAATTTTGGGTAATTATGTTTATATTATTTAGTGTATAATAAATAATATATCCACACTTTTAGATTAGGCTTACTCTAGTTAGATACATAAAGTAATGTAAACATTATACATTTCTGAACGCATAAACAATCCACTTATAATGCAAATTATCTTTGACCGACTACAAAGATATTTTAAAGAAAAGTGGATCATCAATAACACATTTCTTATGCAACCAATCTAGGGTATCGATTGATCCATCTATCGTATTTTATACGAAAATTAACCCAACGTAATTGCATATGATATCATTAAAGGAGATTGGCCCACATGTTGTTTAATTTGCAATCGTAGGAACTGAACTATAATTATCGGTTGTAATAAATTATGTAAGTTGTATAGATAATCAACTACATTATTTCAAGTTCATAGTCCAATCCACTTTTGAGACATTTCTGAAATTTGGATTTAGATTACATATCTTTAAGACACTCTAACTAAATCATATAGTGTATTCAATCACATATAATAAATTGTTAACTAATAGAATGTATTGTTGAGACAACCGAAAAGTGACATCTATGTCTTCTATTAGTATACACTTTCGGATAATATAATTGAATTATCAACCCATTTAATGTGTTCCTCAATATAATCCGGGTCCAGGATAAATGTTATATAAAATATTTATATAACATGTGATGGGTTATATACTACAAATTATGTATATGTATAGAAAAAAAGATACAAGTCGTGACAGTTTTCATACTAAATGTATAATTGGAGATATACATAGTGTGACAGTTTTCACAATATACATAGTGTGACATTTTAAAATGGTACACATTACTACTGTTTACAAAATGCGAATAAAAACTCAATAGGAAGGTATTATAAAATAGGTTCCTATTTTAGACATTTGGTTAATGATATATGTATGTTACAATAAAATGATATTGTAAACATATTTATGTCAAGGCCAACGATATTCTATTATTATCACATGTATAATAATATTAGTCCAAATTATGCAACGATGAAGGGTTATTATAATCTAGTCATAATTATAATCCAACATATACTGAACATAATAAGTTGATTTTTCTCCTGATATTTCAAATGTATCTAAAGTGCCTAGATACATGTCTTCGGTGTTTTCTATACATAATTTCTATACAAAATATAACAAGTCTAAATCCATGGTTCACAACATAATAATTGCTAGTTATATTGAGATAATACATGTATTGGACTCAAGTATATATCTTCCATTACATCTCCGTGACTATAATGATTTAGTGTGTAGATTTCGTTGATATCTAGTTAATGTATTTCACGTATGATACATCTGTGAAATAGATAACTTTATGTGATACCCGTTGTAAGTGTGAATATTGTGAGATTTTCTACATTCTTATATTTGATACCCTATAATTAATCATGACTATACACACAACGGACATATATCCTATATATACCTATTAAGATACAATGAAAATGAGGGTACTATTGAAGCATAATATTAAAATAATATTATTATACATTTGTTGTGTGTAATTATCCCATACGGCAGTTAGCATTTGTATTTATCTTATACGTATGACTAGCTACATCCCTTGGTTTAAGCTAGTTTGTTATTAGATCATATCACAAAACTACTGGAAGTATATATATTCATGTACGTATCTCAAGCTCAATACAACAATTTCATTATCTTCCATTATACTTCTTTATGGTATCAAGAGCCTCCCTCTAACGAGCTTCATTTTTTTCCCGATCCAATCATGTCGATTATCACTCCTACCACGCCGGTCGTCTCCCTCACGGCTTCCACCCACTTCCCTATCAAACTCACTACATCAAACTATCCCGTTTGGAAGTGTCAAGTTCACTCCGCTCTCGTGGGTCTCGGCCTCGACGGATATGTGGACGGTTCCCTTGCAGCACCGGCCAAATACGTGGATGCTGCCAAAACAGAGCTAAACCCATGTTACTCTATTTGGTATCGTCAAGATCGTACTATTATCAGTGCATTACTCGGGAGTTGCGGCGATGTTATTCAGCCCCTGATCTCGTCTGCTACGACGGCAAAACAGGCCTGGGATAAGCTCTCGCTTACATACGCGAGCACATCCCGCGGCAGGATTATCTCACTCAAAACGGCTCTCTCTCGAACTACCAAAGGAGGCCGATCTATCACCGAATATGTTGCTGAGATGTATGCCATCTCCGAGGCGCTGGCCCTCGCTCAAAACCCCATCCCGGAGGAAGATTTGGTGATCAACATTCTTAACAGTCTAGGTTCTGATTACGGTGAATTAAGATCCGCAATTCGGGTTCGCAATACTCCACTCCCGCTGGCAGAATTACAGGATATTCTCCTGGAGCACGAGCAAAAGCTTCAAGAAGCAGGTATGTCGGCGCAGCAGCTTGTACCTACAGCCCACTACACACAGGCTACTGGTCGCGTGGGTGATTCATCCATGCCCGCTGACCGCCGTCACATGCAGACTGCTGATCGTCGTGGCCATCATGCCCGTCGTGGTCGTGGTGGACATCCTCCCGGCCAGTACCGGAACTCTTCCTCCAATGGAGTCATGTGTCATTTCTGTAATTACTCCGGCCATGAGGTAAAACAGTGCCGAAAATTACAGCGTTTTTTGCGTGAAAATCAAATCACTACTTCATTGGGTTCTGGCACTCCGGCAATTCATAACACGATGGTCACTCCTATGACTAATAGTCAACAATGGCTATTTGACAGTGGGGCCTCACATCATATTACCTCGGATAATTCAAATCTTCCGAACTATACTGATTATGGAGGCCCGGACGAGGTTCATCTTGGTGACGGTAACTCCCTGCCTATTACACACATTGGTTCAACTAGCCTACCCACAAAATCCCGACCTTTATCCCTCACTAATGTCCTTTGTGTTCCCACCCTAAATAAAAATTTAATATCTGTTGCTAAACTTTGCCGAACTAACTCAGTATCTGTTGAATTTTTCTCTACTCATTTTTTTGTTAAGGATCAGGTAACGGGGGCGGTGCTCATGCGCGGGGAGAACATCCATGATGTCTACTATGTTCAGTCACCAAAGTCTCCACAAGTCAATCTTTCTCGGGTCTTTATTCCGTCTCAATGGCATCACACATTTGGTCATCCGTCACGTCGTATTTTTGATATGTTAATTCATCAAAATAAAAATGTTATTCCATGTAACATTAAGCTTATTGAGTCTCATTGTTCGTCTTGTCATATTAATAAAAGCACTAAACTGCCGTTTTCTGTTAATACTATGCAAGCCAATTCTTCTCTTGAACTAATATACAGTGATGTATGGAGCACTTCTACTCTCTCTATTGATGGTTTTCGGTACTATGTGTGCTTTGTTGATCTTTTCACTCGGTACACTTGGTTATACCCCATAAAACACAAAAGTGATGTGTCTCTTGTGTTCCCTCAATTTCATAGATTGGTAGAAAAATATTTTAACTGCCAAATTAAATCTCTCTTTTCCGATAATGGGGGTGAGTACATAAAATTACGGTCCTACCTAAATCAACAGGGCATATCTCATTTTATCACTCCCCCCACACACCAGAACACAATGGTATTGCTGAACGTAGACCAGGGCATAGTAAAATTATGCTATATAGCTAATGCAACCTAAATTTGTATACTCGACATTATATGATCTATATTTGAAAGTGGTTCATAAATCCACTTTCAACTGAAATTCTAGATATCATATGTCGTGCAATCTTTATCCAACATATAATCACGGGTTGACATAAATTATTATAGACAACGGGTTATAATGAAAATAATTAGATAACAAACGTACTCAATTATGCATACACATTCTATAATATGCCATATATGACCGTATAAGACAACGTCATGTGTTACCCAATGTAGATACGACAAATCATGTTGTATTCAAATCATTCTTTCTTTCTGTCTACATTTTCTTTATTAGTGGATGTACATATAGTGTTATCATGAAGTTGTCTATCAACCACTGTTCATATCGGAGATTGGTATATCATAAATTATGTACTAAGTTTGATATCCTAACCACTAGATAATAAATCATGTATACTAATTGTATACATCGTGCAAGATACAGGTATATCTTATGAATGTATTAAATATAATTTAGATTACATTTGGTTATGTTAGGTATTGGCCCCCAATTCCATAAGCCCAATTTTGAGCACGTACCCGGTCCATGAGATTTCTACCCGTTCACCGCCTTTCTTCCTCGTGCGATTCTTTCCTTCCTCTTCGCCATTCACTGCGTATCTCCATTAAAGGTAAGTTACCATCTCTGTTTCTTGGTACGCCTATTTATACTCCTCTTTGCCGATTGAGCTTGTGAGCCGAACCCTATTCCCAAATTCTGCCTCCTCCTCTGTGGAACCCTTAATTTGGCCGGAAATAGGTAGAAGGCATATGCCCACATACACCCCTTGTTGATCCTAGTGCGTGAAATTCATCCTTTGTGGATGAAAGTGGTTGAGACCTGAGCTGGAAGACCATCTAACAGTGGTATCAGAGCCATCGGAGGTCCTGCCGCTGTCTGCCGCCGTCTCGCCACCGCCTGCCGTCGTCGGACGCTCAGCCACCGGCCACCGGAGCTTCTGCAGCGCCCATAACCAGCCTCTGCATCGGCCAGAGCTTCTGTCAGGAGTCCAAGGGTGCTGCCAGTTCATCCTGATTGCTTCCAGGAGGTTCTGCCACCGGTTCAGACCTGCTGCCGCCGTCCAGGGAGCTGCTGCCGCCGCTTCAGTCCGCTGCCGCCGAGTCTACAGCAGCCCACGCTGCCTACGGTAAGTCGGGTAACCCAACCTCGGGCCTCGCTCAGGTAAATTGGCGATAATCATCCTTGGTGTACCGGAGTGCCACCGGATTTATTTTTCCCCCGCTCCCCGCTGCCCGCTGCTGACCTACGTGGTCTTGGAAGCCGGCTGTGCCCGGCCCCAGGTACGTTTACTAATCCTTTGTGTGATTATTATTCGTAGTTCATTCTTTTTTTAATTTCAAGTTGAATTGCAATTACTTTGTTGTTTGAATTGTGATTACTTGTTTGTTGGTCCGTGGATTAATTTTCCGGTGAAGAATATTTTGTTTGGATACTCGTTGTCCAAAGTTGTGAATATTTCTTCCGGTTTAAATTTAATCCGTTTGGATTTTGTTTTTTCTGTTGATTGTTTCGTGGATTAATTTTCCGGTGAAGAATATTTTGTTTGGATATTCGTTGTCCAAAGTTGTGAATATTTCTTCCGGTTTAAATTTAATCACGTGTTGGATTTTTTTATTTTGATTTTTTCTGTTAATTGATTCGTGGATTAAACTCTCCGGTTAAGAATATTTGTTTGGATACTTGTTGTCCGAAGTTGGGAATATTTCTGTCCGGATTAGTTTTAAATCCAGTTTCTTTGATTGTTGATTAATTCTAGCCTATTTGTGCTTGTACGAAAGAACAAGGAGATTGTACCCCGAGCTTTGTGTTCATTGGTCTTCTCGGCTTGTTCGTGCTAGTTGCTTCGTACAATTGATAGCCCTATAGGTTATAATTAATCATTTATTTGTCTGTTGAGTAAATAAAAATTTTACCTGTGTTTGTACGAAAGAACAAGGAGATTGTACCCGAGCCTTGTGTTCATTGGTCTTCTCGGCTTGTTCGTGCTAGTTGCTTCGTACGGTACGAAAGAACAAGGAGATTGTACCCGAGCTTTGTGTTCATTGGTCTTCTCGGCTTGTTCGTGCTAGTTGCTTCGTACCGGTTGATAGCCTGATAAATTTTATTTATTCTCTTGCGTGTTGTGCTTGCTTTCCGGTTAATATGGCTGTCAATCAATATGGCATGCTTCCATTTAACGGAAAGACAGATTTTGATATCTGGAAACAGAAAATCAAATGTGTGTTGATCCAACAGAAAGTCTATAGAGCTGTGACTGGTCTCTATTTAGACTCTGAGGATGCTGCAAAGCGTGTTGAGATGAATGAAACTGCTTGTTCCTCTATATACCTGAACCTGTCTGATTCAGTGCTCAGGAAGGTGGGTATTATAGATTCCGCGAAGGATTTGTGGGACAAGTTAGATAAGTTGTATACCGATACTTCTTTGCCTGGTAAATTGTTTTTGCTTGAGAAGTTCTTTAGATTTAGGCTTGACCTGTCTAAGGACATAGATGAGAACCTAGATGTGTTTAACAAGCTTATCCAGAACATTAAGCAAGCTGGTGATAAACACATAGATGACTACACACCCATAGTGTTACTTAATGCCATCCCTGACTCATACAATGACGTCAAATCTGCCATAAAGTATGGTAGAGACGATATCTCGTTAGATATAGTCGTTAATGGATTAAGGAGTAAGGAGTTAGACCTTAGAAACTCGAGGGTTAGTAACAGTCAGTCTAGGGACTCTGGTGAAACGATGTTTGTGAGGGGTAGGTCTAAGAGTAGATCTAGAAACCATAAGAAGGGCAACAACGATAAGAACAAAAACAATGACCCGGGGAAGAAGAGAGGTAAGTCTAAGAAGAGAGTGTGCTATAATTGTGGTAATTCTAGTCACTTCATTAAGGATTGTCCCCATCCGAAGAAGTCTGAACATGCTAATGTGGTAGATGATAATAACTTGCATGAAGAAGTTTTTATGATTTGTGATTCTGCCAATTCTGTGTTGAGTAGCATGACTGAAAATAAGTGGTTGATTGACTCTGGTTGTACTTATCATATGACACCTTTTAGATCCCTGTTTTCTTCTTATGATTCTTGCAATGATGGTTTTGTGTCTCTTGCTGATAATAAGAAATGCAAAATACATGGGGTGGGTGATGTATGTTTGAAGTTTGATAATGGGACTGTGTTTACTATGAAAAATGTGAGGCATGTTCCTGATTTGCGTCATAACTTGTTTTCTGTCGCTGCTTTTGAGGGTAGTGGGTTAGAAGGTAAATGGGGTAATGGGTGCATGAAAGTTTTGAAAAATTCCCTTGTTTTGTTTAAGGCAACAAAGGTGAATAACTTGTATGTGTGCCATGCTCAGCCTTTCTGTGATTCTACTCATGTTGTTAGTCCTGATAAATCTGCATTGTGGCATAATAGATTAGGGCACATGAGTAATAGGGGTTTAGAGATTTTGCATAAATCTGGTTGTTTTGGTAAGGATTCTGTGTCCCCCATCCCCTTTTGTGAATCTTGTGTGTTAGGCAAGCAACATAAGGTTACATTCCCCTCCTCCCCATATCCTAATCCGACTAAGTGTACCTCTGTGTTAGAATATGTTCATGCTGATGTGTGGGGTCCTGCTAGTGTCTCTACCCACGGGGGTAAGAGATATTTTCTGTCCATCATTGATGATTTTTCTAGGAAGGTGTGGGTCCGTCTCCTTGAGCATAAGTCCGATGTCTTTGTGAAGTTTAGAGAGTGGAAAAACCTTGTAGAAAATCAAACTGGTAAGAAGGTCAAAACCCTTAGGACAGATAATGATCTAGAGTTTTGCAATAAGGATATGGACCAACTGTGTGTTGATTGTGGGATTAGAAGGCACAAAACGGTGCCCTATACTCCCCAACAAAATGGGATAGCCGAGAGGATGAATAGGACTGTTCTAGATAAGGTTAGGAGTATGCTTGCCACCGCCGATTTGTCTAAAAAGTTTTGGGGTGAAGCAGTTAACACTGCTGTCTACTTGATTAACCGGTCTCCTTCTGTTCCCTTGGGTGGGAAGTGTCCTGAATCTGTTTTTTCAAACAAACCCCTTGATCTGTCTAATCTTAGAGTGTTTGGGTGTGCAGCGTATGTGCACCAACAAGGTGACAAGTTGGATCCTAGGTCTAAGAAAGGAGTCTTCCTAGGTTATCCCGAGGGTGTGAAGTGGTATAGGGTTTGGGATAGGAACCACGTAGGTTTCAAAGTTGTGGTGAGTAGAAACGTTGTTTTCAATGAATCCGAGTTTCCTTGTCTAGTTAAGTCAGTTCCTGATTCTGAGTCTGATCCTAGTAGTACACCCGTTGAGGTGGAGTCCATACCACGTGCTGCTAGCCCTTTGTTTGCTAATCATGATAATGTTGTTTTGCATGATTCTAATTCTTCTGAATTGCATGATTTTGATTCTTCTGAGCATGATACTACCACCACTTCGAGTGAGGTGGAGCATTCTCATGTGCATTCAAATGACAATGAATCGCATCATGAGAGTGCGGATGCTAGTGAGAATGATTTGCATGATTATCAACTTGCTAGAGATAGAAGTAAGAGAGTAATTAGGAGAACTGCTGATAG